ACAGCCCCACTGAGCTGAGTTTCACCCCCCCCCATTTATTCATATTTTTACTCCATGAAGAGCCAACCTCATTCATTTGTTTCTTTTATAACAGATTTAAAACACAATTTTCCTCATTATAAGGCCAATCTCTCCAGGCATCTCTGAGTCTCCCACGGCCAAATAACGTGGCTGTAATCCGGTCCCAAAATTTCCTTCTGGGGAATCGAGTATCTTCCAGGCATCTCTTTATTTTTCCTTTGTCAAAAGTGTACTTAGCATCCCACTGCACTGTGCCTGGCGCTGCACAAACACACAGTGTGGAATAATCTGACTCCCTCCCTCTGAGTCCTACTGCATGTAATACATCACATCGGATTTTGTTTCTCTTAAAAGGAGGAGAATATGCAAATAGGGAATAGAGAATATGCAAATCCCCCCCCGCCCAGGTTGCTGCCGTAGAGATAATCCAGAGCCACTTGTGTCTGTGCATTTATCAGCCAATTCCCGAGAACTTTCCCCTCCAACACCAGGGAAAATGGGCCTTTGGATCTGTTTGTTTTTCATTGTAGCCGCTTCAGAAGGTATTTTAGCCCCGTAACGATGCTGGGGGAACAGGGGAACATTACACTGTTGCCATTGGAAATTGGAGTAATTTGTAACCTGTCTTTATTTCCAGGGGGCGGTCCCAGGTCCAGCTGGTGGAGCAGGGCCTCCTGGGGGGGGGGGGGGCGTAGTGGGGCAATTTGCCCTGGGCCCCGCAGAGGCCCCCACGAGAATATAGTCTTCTATAGCATTGCAATTTTTTTATGGAAGGGGCCGCTGAAATTGCTTTGCTCCAGGCCCCATGAATCCTCTGGGCAGCCCTGTGGTGGACACAAATATTAGGGAGTGTTCAGTATTTCTACATGATTCAGTAACATGGGACAAATTTTCATCCGGCCTTATATAGCCCATGGCGCTACCTACAGATCCAGTGAGCTGCCCTCTCCCTTAATGACTCTTGAATATCCCAACCCCAGTGGTCAGATTTTCCAAAACCATCTCTAAAAAGCTTTGCCCATCCCTAAAGGAAACTGAGCCTGGGACCTGAGCACACTGCCTCTCACCTGGGAGATAACACTCACTGCCTCACTGAGCAACATCCCGCACCATGGCGCCGCTGGCTCTACGACTGTCACAGCAACAGAGGGGATCCTGACCAACAAATTCCCACCAATTTAAGGTGCTGGTAGAATAATAATAATAAATATTAATTTTGTCTTCTAGTCCAGCATTGCTAGAAAGCGTTTGATAGATTTTCTCCAATTCTTCAAGAAGAAGTAGTTTTCAGACAGTAGCAGTAATAACAACACCTAGCTCTTCTATAATGGTTTTCAGTCATAGATCTCAAAGCACTGACAAAGCAGGTTCAATATCATTTCCCCCACATTTCAGAGACATACAAATTGAGGCACTGGGAGTGTAATTTCTTGCCTGGGATCACCCATCATACTAGTAGCAGAGCCAGGAATAAACTGCCGGATTCTCAAGTACGAGGCTAATGTGCCCCCACAAGATCACACTGCTCCAAGGATCTCACAAGAACAGAGGGACAAGGAGACAGAACTTAGTGGAAGCTTTAAGCTGCCCTGGGATAAGAGGGAAGGTGCTCTCGTGAATTGGTAGCTGGTTAAAAGATAGGAAACAAAGTGTAGGAATAAATGGTCAGTTTTCAGAATGGGGAGAGGTAAATAGTGGTGTCCCCCAGGGGTCTGTACTGGGCCCAGTCCTATTCAACATATTCATAAATGATCTGGAAAAAGGGGTAAACAGTGAGGAGGCAAAATTTGCAGATGATACAAAATTACTCAAGATAGTGAAGGCCCAGGCAAATTGCGAAGAGCTACAAAAGGATCTCTCAAAACTGGGTGACTGGGCAACAAAATGGCAGATGAAATTCAATATTGATAAATGCAAAGTAACACACATTGGAAACCATAATCCCAACTTTATGTATAAAATGAAGGGGTCTAAATTAGCTGTTACCACTCAAGAGAGAGATCTCGGAGTCACTGTGGACAGTTCTCTGAAAACAGCCACTCAATGTGCCGCGGCAGTGAAAAAAAGTAAACAGAATGTTGGGAATCATTAAGAAAGGGATAAATAATAAGACAGAAAATATCATGTTGTCTCTATATAAATCCATGGTATGCCCACACCTTGAATCCTGCATGCAGATGTGGTCGCCCCATCTCAAAAAAAGGTATATTGAATTGGAAAAGGTTAGAAAAGGACAACGAAAATGATTAGGGGTATGGAGCAGCTGCCATATCAGGAGAGATTAATAAGACTGGGACTTTTCAACTTGGAAAAGAGACAACCAAGCGGGATATAATAGAGGTCTATAGAATCATGACCGGTGTGGAGAAAGTAAATAAGGAAGTGTTATTTACTCCTTCTCATAATACAAGAACTAGGGGTCACAAGATGAATTAATGGGCAGCAGGTTTAAAACAAATAAAAGGAAGTATTTTTCACACAATTCACAGTCAACCTGTGGGACTCCTTGCCTGAGGATGTGGTGAAGGCCAAGACCATAACAGGGTTCAAAAAAGAACTAGATAAATTCATGGAGAATAGGTCCATCAATGGCTATTAGCCAGGATGGGTAGGGATGGTGTCCCTAGCCTCTGTTTGCCAGAAGCTGAGAAAGGGCAATAAGGAATGGAGCACTTGATGATTACCTGTTATATTCATTCCTCTGGTTCATCTGGCATTGGCCCCTGTCAGAAGACAGGATTCTGGGCTAAATGGACCTTTGGTCTGACCCAGTATGACCATCGTTATGTTCTTATGTCCTTAAGGTGAACAATCAATAAGGAATTTTGTCTCTAAATATTGTAGAGAACACTGCAGAAATTATTCTTTGAGTGGAGTTCTTACTCGTCTTCTTTAGTCAGGTAACGCTTTCCCATCACACCCACCTCCTGGAGGCTGAGTTGGGTGAGGGCTGAGGTCCAAGATGTGTCTTATAAAGAGGAGTAGATGCAAATTCAGTGCCTCGGCACTCTATAAAAATCGTGTGATATCTAGGTCTCTGCAGTGTGAGAAGGGAGGAGGGACAAATCCGGGTGTCTGTGCAGTTCCCATCAGAAACCCCTCCAGCGTCAGCAACGTGAGACTGTGGCTGAACCTCGCTTTCTTTCTAGCGGCCCTTCGAGGTAATTTTATCCCCTTCCCCGCTACACGGACTGGAGACACCAGGGGATGCTGCACATTCCTACCCTGACCCAAAGCGCAATGAAGTCAAGAGGAAACTTTCTGCTGCTTCCAACGGGCTTTGAACGAGGCCATATGTGAATGTAATTCCTGTTCTTTCTTTCCTTCCAGATGTCTGGTCACAGATCCAGCTGGTAGAGACTGGAGGGGGAATCGAAACGTCTGGGGGATCTCTCCGCCTCTCCTGCAAAGCCTCTGGATTCACCTTTAGGAACTACTGTGTGAACTGGGTCCGTCAGGCGCCGGGGAAAGGACTGGAGTGGGTCTCAGAGATACACAATCCTGCTCATAATTCAGCAGCATATTACAGTGATGCGGTTAAAGGGCGATTCACCAGCTCCAGAGACGAGTCCCGCAGCTCGGTGTATCTCCAAATGAACAGCCTGAGAGCCGAAGACACCGCCCGGTATTACTGTGTGAGAAGAGACACAGTGATCAAAAACCTCCTGCGGTTAGCACAAAAACCTCCAGTGCCCGCACTCACAGCCATAACAGAGCAGATGACACAGAGAGGAACAGAGAGTGTAAAGTCCCCAGTCCTTTATCTGGGCTTCGGTCCTCTGCAAATTCACTGTGATGACGAAAGACCCACGGTTCCGACAGAACCGAGACCCCTTCTACATTCCCTAGTGATGCCTCAAATGTGTTATTAACACTTATCTGTCCATCCTTCACCCTGCTTTCCCAGCAAGCTAAGCTGGCGAAGACAGGCAGGAAGAATGAGCCATGGAACCAAGGTGGAACCTGAACTAGAATTTTTTCACTCTGTGATCTTGCCACAATTTCCATACACCTAACGTAGGCTGAATTGTGCTTCTTGAACACACTGATTCATTTGCAAAGCCACTGGGGTTCTGGAATAGCCAATGCCAAGTTTTGAAGGAGGGGGGAAATGGGGGCCACTAGTCCTAAATTCACAGGCAGACCGTGGGTATTCCCTGTACAG